AGAAGGTTTATTTATGTCATGGAGCTCCCAGCTTGTGTAGATGTATTCATATTAACAAATGTGTTCAAATATGTACTTATAACTTTTTAAAAAGTGGAAACACCCTGAAGGTTATACTTGTTCTTTTACTCTTACAGTGCTTCTTCTCAAGCACAAGGACTCTGCAATGACATCCACAGAAATCCAAATGACATGGGGCTGCATTTTTTTTTTCTCCTTCAAACATGCCAAGGTCAGAGTTGAAGAAGCTGTATTCTGGTTGCAACATCATGATTATTTAAAGAAGCTGCACGCTAAAGAAGGCAGGCTGTGACTCCACATCTGGATAGAGGGTGGAACCCATGAACTTGGCAGTCCCTAGGAATGCCATCCCTGGACACACCCACAGGCTGCTGGGGCATGGGCCTCCACAGCTCCTGCAGCAGTGTGTCCTGGAAGCAGAGTTCTACCAGGCTCTTTGCTAGTAACCATTTCTGTGCCCTGCCCCATGGACTGTTGGTACAGGACTTCCCTGCATGAACAAAGGTGCCTTGACTGGAGTGAGCCCCAGGGAAAGATTCAGATTTCAGATGTTGCTGCTCACAGGGGAAGCCCAGGTAGCCCTCTGTGTGAAGGCCAGCTCTGCTCTGCCTCGAGCAACCCCTAGAAATGCTTCTGTGGGCTAACCTTTCCAGCCATTGCCCTTACTCCCTCTTTTTGAAAGTGTCACATTGAATGGCTTTCCTTTTACTCAACTGTGATTTTTATTTTTCAAAAATCTTAGAAATTACAGCTGGGAAAGACTGTTGCTTCATCTAGTCTTGGCAGGAGGGCTCCCCAGAGAATATTTCCCTCAGTTCTTGAGACAAATAGCAATGTCTCAGCGTTCTGGGTAAAGGCCAACCTCAGCCCACTGCTTCACCAACCTGGCGTGCCATGTGCCTGCCTGGCCACTTAGGAATGTGTAGGGGCATGCTGCAGCCAACCCAGTAACCTTGACGCTGAGTGGCAAAGATGATCTTAACTCTTCTGAGAGGACTTGGAGCCTTGAGCAAGAGGGCAGAGTCTACGTGACTAAAACATACCAGCTTCCTCTTTCATAAGTCATCACATGATGAACTACAATTACAATTCCTGCCTTGTCTCTGCGAATTGCAGACGCATTGCCTCACCCTAGAAACCCTGCTCCTGTGTGGAGGAGGTGGCTGGAACTGCTGCAGCAGCCGCTTTGGATGCCATCCAACTCCAGTCTGCGCCCAGAGGGAGGGCAGTGGGTGGAAGACAAAAACAAAGCTATGTTTACTTAGCATACATCGATAAAGCTGCTGCAGAGCTACATGAAAGGCCAAGCAGCACTAAAGACTTTTGATACAATATAAGGAATTGCTGCCCCGATCCAAGGCCTACTTTAACCCCTTGGGCCGGGGATCCTTTTATGGTAGGTGAGTCCAGAATTAAAAAAGCCTTCCCATTTTCCAGCAGTCATTTATTTCTTGAGGGAAGTTCCAACAGCTTAGTTTCAACATTAAGCTGGCAGTGTACAATAGAAAGGAAATGTTTTTCTGCAGTAGAAGAGAAGCTCTGTTCCACAGAGATCTTACTTAGTGTCTCTCAAGGCAGACATTGTATCTCAGTGTTTCTATTTTGGATGGAGTGGCAGGCTCTCCCTTGAGGGCGTTCAGTTCCTGCTCCCAGGTAAATGAGTATAATTAGGTCATGGCTCTAATGGTGAGTTGTTTTCTTTTAATGTTTCAGTCCTTGCTTTGTGGGGCAATCTCTTGGGGGCAGTAAGTCTCTGCAGCAAAAAGTGTGGGTGATTCTTCCCCTTTGCTTTGTCCCCAAGGGTGAAGTCACAGGCTGGAATGAGTTGCAGGGTCTAAGCTGAGAGTGACCAGAAGGACAGGTCCTGAGGGAGGTGCCAAGAGTGTCCAAACCTGCTGGCACCAACTGTTTCTGGGAAGAAATCCCGGTAGGCCCCGTTCTCCTGGCTCAGAGAGGGTGAGGCTGAATCGAGAGGCAAGGGACAGGTGGGGAGTTCTTGACAGCAGGAATACCTGATCTGGAAACCCTCAAGGGAAGACATTCAAGGTTAGCCTGTGAACAATCTGGGTCTGGCATTACGTTTTCTGTGCCATTTCGAACAGGTTTTTTCATGTGCTCTAAGCAGCTCCCTCCACTGTTTTTCGACAGGCGTGTTTCCTCTTGTGGTTAATCCTTTGAAGCAACCTGGCATTTTCAATAGCAGCAACTGGAGAGAAACGTCAGCAGGATTTTTTTCTCCCTCTCCACCTACCAATCCAGTTGTAGGAAAGATAATATAATTAGTACCCTGTTCTTCCCACACTTAACCAGCTCATTCCAGTCTCAGGGAGAGAAGTGGGGCTGTGCTCCCAACAAAAGCAGCTCCCGAGCGGCCCTACGGAGCGGAAGTGTGTCAGTCCAACTAAAGCGATCGCCACAGCACACACCAGCTCCTCCTCCCGACAAAAGTGGGAAACTAGATATTCAGTCCAGTCTGGGAGGGCCTGCGCTGCCCACCGCGAAAGGGAGCCGGGGGCTGGCCAGGCGGGCCTGAGTCCATGCAGCTAGGTCAGGCTGGGGCGGTGGACTGCCAAGCCGGCCAGCAGGCCGCCCCACCGCCCGCGAGACCCGGGAGGCCGCCAATGCCGCGGCTAGCCCGCGCCTCCCGCCTGGCCAGTCCAAGCTCTGCCCGGGGCGGGGCCTACGGGCTGGAGTCAGAGGCGGGGCCTGCGCCTAGACGCCGCAAACCCCGGATCCTTGGACTGTGCACTCGCTCGGCGCGGTCCCAGGCCCGCGGCGCCGGGCACGTCCGCGCGGAGCGTGCGCACTGGCGGCAGCTCGCGCCCACGTCACGCGCCCGCCGCGCGGACCTACATAAAGCAGCGGGGCGGCGCCGAAGGCCCGGCTAAGCGTGCTGACGGCGGGGTGAGCGGGGCGCGGTGCTCGCGAGCCCTCTTCCGTGCGCGCTTGGGGCTGGGCCTGGCGGCGTCTGGCTTTCCAGAGTTTGTGAAACTTAAAGGGGCAGCGGCCTCGTGTTCCTCCTTAGACAAATACACTACAAAGTACTGTTGAGTGCGCGCGCACGACCCAACGTGTCTGGCCAATTAGGAGTCCTAGGAAAGCCCAAGCAGGGCTGCTCAAGACCCCAAAAGCCCATGCTCAGGAGACCATCAGAAAACACGAAACAAAGTGGACTTGTGTGTAAAAGCAGTTTCAGCACGATTTAGCCCAAAAGGACACGGGGGTCGGGGATTCTGCCTGAGTGGTCGACTGGGAGAATGGAGCAGGGAGTGAGTGCAGGATAAGCGAAAAGGCACACATGCTCCAGGTCCGCCCCGGGGCGGGTGGCCGGCGTCCAGACCGAGCTTCGGCCCCGCGCGGGGGAAGGGAGGTGGCAGAGGGCGGGCG